TGGTAACACTAGAAAGAGTAGAATGTAAACTAGGTGTTATTCAATGAAGTGTTTGTGGTACAATGATGCACTGTGGTACATGATCGAGATATATCACAAGGACAAAACCTCAAACCTCCTTCCTAATCACAAAATATATGAGAAAACTAATAGTGAGCCTATGTTATATTTGAATTTAGGAATCTGCATTTGAATAATTTGTCTTGTAGCCAGTATATCTTTACCATTACGTCATGTACAGGGATCCAGGACCAAAAATCGATGTTCTAAGCAGTGCACATTTCTACCATCATTATTTAAATTTCACTATGGTCCACTTCCAAATTATTTGAGTAATGTGTCTATTTATAGGAAATGTACCTATTTATTAGTATAATAATTAACTAGTTACTAGCTAACTGATGAACCTATCTTGTCTAAATACTTTTATCATGGATGGTATTAGTAGATACCAATATAATAAAAGTTTATCTTGGACTACCATCTTGTTGATGTTACATGTTCAAATCAAGACTTATCATTCTATATACTTTGTTTATTATTACCTTTATATTGACTTTAGGGAATATGTTGATTTGTAAAAAATCCTTCCCTAGTAATTCAATATGTTGTTTTGGTTCCTTTACAACTGGCAGCTGGCAACAAAGTATTGAAGATGCTCAAGATTTCACTCCAGAAATCTCTTGGATTTTTTGTTTGATGGGGTATAGAAGTCTAAATGTATCTATACCAGCTGATTGTACTGAAACTTATATAAATGTGCATCTATCACTGATATTGCTTTTTAATTCAGAATAGTGCTACAGATAGATAAAACTCAATCAGCTGGGAAAAGCAAATGGAGAAGGCGTAATAATCAAAGCATCACCCACATTCTTGGAAATAAAACCAATTCATCAGCAATGTTCTGAAAAATACTACTGATTTATGAGGTGTATTCTGGTAAAAACAGCCAAATCATTTTGTTGCAAATACAACCAGTTCATCAGTCATGTTTAAAAAAATACAACCAGTTCATCAGTCATGTTTAAAAAAATACAACCAGTTCATCAGTCATGTTTAAAAAAATACAACCAGTTCATCAGTCATGTTTAAAAAAATATAACCAGTTAATTAGCCACCTTGTGACAAATTCAAACAAATCATCATGCATGTTACAATTATACTTATATATGTTTAAAGCCTGGCATGATGTAATTCAATATCATATCACCAGTCTTTCTTGGAACTAGTTAGGTCTATGCAGAGTATAGGATGGTTTAGGGTGGGTGAGTTGTAGTAACTTTTAGCTTTGGCCTGTAATGATTTTAGCTGTTACATTTTAACTGAACTGTGACATTTTACTTCCTTAACAGTATCTATTCTATAATAGATCATTGTTTCTCTCGAACAAGGATTGAAAGATAATATTGGGAAATAACTTACTAGTATTTTATTCAATTTTTTTTCCATTTTAATCTATGAAACATGAAAGATTTTGTCAACCTCTACTACATTCAACTAATCAGATCCACTTCTTTTAAATTGTGTGTTTGAAGTTAAATACACAGCAAGTTTTTGTAGCTTTACATGATCGTACCTGTACATTTATATTGCTTATTGCATAAGCTTATATTTGCAAAGTCAAGGATGACATGCAATTTTTACGTAATCATGTTCAAGTAATCATGTTAGTAATACTAGTAAATTATGACCTGTATGTTTCTAGTAATCATATCAGTACATACCTTAAATTCATTCAAACTTTAAATTCTGTTCTTTTTTATAGTTTTTCATAATCTCCATGAACTAAAATAGATGAAGTATTCAAATTTAGTCATAATATATCTACAGACCATTGAGATTTCCACAGAAAGAGTACCAAATACATCATCACATTGAACAGACATTCAAATATGTAATCCAACTATCAATTTTTCTCCATTGTTGCAATCCTCTTTGTCAGACTCGAAAAAATCTCCTTGTATGCTTACTGACATATTTGAGATACTTTGAATGAGATTTTGCAAGACTAATGTTTAGATGCACAAACCAGCATTAAAATAACACAGGATTGTTGAAGGTGAAAAAAGACATTAACCTTGAAGAAGAGTATTTACTGTATAGTTGTTCAACTTGGCTACAACATCATCTGTTTGTTTATCTCTTGTGTAATGTATTTGTTTATCAATCTAACATTCAGCTAGTGTAAAAACTATATAAGAAAGTACTATATATGTAAAGCTAGATAACTTATTATGTTAATAGTACTGAAAGTGACAAGACTATGCTGTGTGTTCAGAAAATTGATAATAAATGGCCTTAATAAAAGCAGACATCTCAGATCTGAAATCTATGCATTTTGGATGTTTTGGAGGCCTTGGCTTAGTTTCAGTGAAAGTCTAATAAGGGAGTTTAGGTGACTCAGCAAGTTTGGTAACTTAAAGAGTTCTTCAAACCCAGCACAATTGCCTCTTTTTGATGCTGTTGGGACTGAAATGGAAATGTTAAGTTGGTTGGATATGAAAGTTTTAGGAAATCAGGTGATTTCACACATTACTAAATGTAAAAACTTAGATCAACTGACAGATATGTAAAATAAAGGTAAATAAAATGAAGGTCAAATAAAAGTACTTTTACCAAAAGGTATTTTCTTTTGGCACACCAAAAAAAGTACATTTGCATGTAACAATTGTAGCAAATTTAAAAATACTTGTTACATCTTATTGTTTTCACATTTACAAATTTTTTCAACCCACCAAAAATAATAGTTTTAAAGATATATATTATAAGTATGTAACTAAGTACTAAACAACATAATATTATATATGTGTGAATTGTTTCTGTTTTTACCACAGTATAACAATAAACCATTTTAAACATGACTAATTAACTAACACACTACTTTTACTTTATCTTTTACCTTTCACACTTTCATTTTTCTTCTGTTGAAAATGTCAACATTGTTTTGTCAAGGTTAGAGATGTGTTTTTAGTGCCATGATCTTGTTCTCTAACTTAAACTATAAAACTAGTTCTCAGTTCCTAATGGGTTTCCAATTAGATAGCTTGTCATCCCAAAATAGTTGCTGAATATTGAAAGACTACTATATAAGAATATAAGGGTTCTAAATGAACTGATGTTTGGTGACAAAATGGACACCAAATATGATGATAAAATGTTCTGTACTATTACAAGCCCATTTTAACCATATTTGAGCCCAAGTTTTAAGCCCAAGTTACAATATAGGTATATCCTGAGTCAGACTACACATTTTAGTCAGTTTGTCAGCTGATTAACGATGTAAATGTGTGTTAAAAACAATAAATCAATTTTTGTGGTCATTATCTAAGCAATGTTACTGGAGAAAATATACCAATGGGTTGTTTACTTTTTCGCTTGCATTTTTTGCATTATTGGTACTAATGTCTGCCCTGACCATTTTTGAAATTTAAACAAGCAATAAGATATCAATCTGTTTACCCAATTGACCAATCCTACCATTAACTTAATTCACTGGGGGCATGACTCTTAGTCCTTATGTTGGTTTATAACTAGTACATACTAGTGTTCTAGTCTTGATATATCTTCATTATTTATAAACTAAGTCAATAAAAGTAAGACTTGGTATATTTAGTACCTAATAATCTAAACACCATTTTTATATGTATCAAATATATTTTTTCGTGCTAATTCTTGCACAACCTCACCCAATTTCACAACTCATCTCTAAGTAAAATTTCATATTTTGGCAAAATGGCTAGAAACAGAGAGAAGTACCAATCAGCATGTTAAATTGAATATTGAATAATACTATGAATCTTATTCTATAATCAATACTACAAAGTAAATAACTGACATTTTTTACAATTTTTTTTCTAAGGATTAAAGCTATATAGCTTATGTGTATGAAGATAGGTGAAAGTACTTAAAATAACTAAGATTTATATCTTCTGACCTCTATTATAACTTGGTTGACTGTATCTTAGTTGTTTCCTGTCTAACTTTAACACTTACAGTGGTAGGCTGATGGACTATTAAGAAATTTAGTTTTGATAATATGATATGCAAAGTATTTAATGGGAAGTTAGAGAAATAATCTTGAACAACATATTCTCTCCTACTCCTCATATGATAAACACACATCATGATTGTACATTCTTAGCTTTATAATAGTGCTCATAGTGCAGGACTGGGAAGTGGGATGTGATTCCACTTCTTTACTTTGCTCTTTGCAACCAATCAGGGACACTTAAGACAGACAAAAACTTTGAAAACTTGACATGGCAAAGCTAAGCTTCTTTATGTTTGCTTCGCTCTTTTACTTAGTTGAGTATAAACCAGCCTTAATTGCATATCTTTGAAGCATCCTTGATTTTCTGAGATATCTGTTTCCATACCACTCAATTACAATAAAATGTAGCTTAATTACCATGTGTTCTACTGTGATATTGCAGGAATTACCATGTGTTCTACTATCTTTATAATTGTAGGAATAACCATGTGCTCTATCTTTATAATTGTAGGAATAACCATGTGCTCTATCTTTATTATTGTAGGAATAACCATGTGCTCTATCTTTATAATTGTAGGAATTACCATGTGCTCTATCTTTATAATTGTAGGAATTACCATGTGCTCTATCTTTATAATTGTGGGAATTACCATGTGCTCTATCTTTATAATTGTAGGAATAACCATGTGCTCTATCTTTATTATTGTAGGAATAACCATGTGCTCTATCTTTATAATTGTAGGAATAACCATGTGCTCTATCTTTATAATTGTGGGAATTACCATGTGCTCTATCTTTATAATTGTAGGAATAACCATGTGCTCTATCTTTATAATTGTAGGAATAACCATGTGCTCTATCTTTATAATTGTAGGAATTACCATGTGCTCTATCTTTATAATTGTAGGAATAACCATGTGCTCTATCTTTATAATTGTAGGAATAACCATGTGCTCTATCTTTATAATTGTAGGAATTACCATGTGCTCTATCTTTATTATTTCAGGAATTACCATGTGTTCTACTATCTATTAGCTGGTGCTGATGATTCTGAAAGACATTCCCTAAATTTATCTACTCCTGAAAACTATAACTATTTGTCTTGTGTGAGTATACTTCTTATAATTTATCTATTTATTTATTATATTTAATATCCTTATCAGAATAGTCTAAAAAAAAAAAACAAATTATAATTGGATAATTTTAAAACCTGAAAAAATTTCTCAAGAGTGCATTGTCGCAGAAGTTGGGGAAAGATATGAATTTGAAGATTTGGATTATGTTTGAATCTGTAATTTTAAACTTAACTTTAAAACTAATGTGTGGCAGAGGAATAACTGGGTCTGTAGCCAGTTAGATCATCATCTGCTCTCTGATTAGGTGCCATGAGATCATTCCTCTCCCATAAAAGAAAAATTCTGTGTCAACTTCTAACTTTAATAACAAATATTCTGTTTGGTTTTTCAGAGTGATTGTATTACTCTAGATGGAACAGATGAAAAATATGAGTTTGCTCGGCTTAAGCAATCAATGGAAATGGTTGGGTTTTCTCCAGAAACACAAAAAAGGTAATAATATTTTATATTTCATGATGTTGAAAGTAAGTGCAGTATTTTCAGTAAAGTGATTCATCTACTAGATGTGTTAACCTCGTTTCATGGTTTATTATAATGACTAATTAGATAGATACCAGTAGTATATTTCATTGTTATGTACTTGTTTTTCTTTCAGAATATTCAGTGTTCTTTCTGCTGTACTTCACCTGGGTAACATAGAGTTTAAAAAGGTTAGTTATGACAATTAAGCGACAGTTTTTATCTCCTTATCACAACTCATAGTCTTGTTTTTGTAATAAAAAAATAGATAAATAAATCATCTTTATGTGACTATGTAATTATACATCTACGTCATCAAGAACTTCACAACTCAATATTTGATTTTAATTATGTCGTTAATTATTATTTTGATAGTTAGAATTTTGAGTTGCACATCCTTAGCTCTCCATAGTTGGCAGATCTCAATTCCTTCTATGTTAGCTCTGTGCTCTGGTTGTAATGTCACTCATAAGATTCTTGAACAAAAAAATTGAGAACTATTTCTTCTCTAAGCTATTCTACTCAGTTTTCAAGATTTTGAAATTTAAGATATAATGATTTTTGTATATTATAGAAAGGTGATCAACACCATGATGAATCTGTGTCCATTAAAAATGAAGATGATGTTAAAATTATCTCAAATCTACTCAAGGTATGAACAGTTTTCTTAATGCAAGTCTATTGCATTTCAAGGGAGGTAATGTGATTTTGATATTTAAAAAAAAAGACTGCTGATGTGTTTAGACCCAGGTGTCCATTTCTATAAAACGGTGTTGCAAATACTCAATACTTACTTGCTGTAAGATACACTCATGCATTAAAACTTTAAGATGGTTATGGTTCTTGTTTGTGTTTTGCCAGGTGAAAGAAAAGACTGTGATAGAAGCATTAACTACCAAGAAAACTGTAGCTGGAGATGAAACAGTGGTTATTAATTTTAAAATGGAAGATGTAAGTTTAAAATTTGTAGACTAGATTGAGGTCCCTTGTGATTTTTGCAGATTTCTGGACAGTTGAGAATTCAATAAGATGAGACACATTGTTGATGCCGTCCTTAGCTAACATCAATTAATTTGAGTCAAACTTCTGAATTCTTAAAATATTCAAAACAAATTTTTCAATTTACAATCTAGATTGCAATAACCCTGTTGTTATTTTAACATCATTAGAATGTAATGAGTTAATTTTAAAGTATTATTTTTTTTATTATATATCAGGCAATAGCTACAAGAAATGCAATGGCTAAATGTATATATGGTGCCTTGTTTGATTGGATTGTATTAAAAGTAAACCAAGCGTTATTGGCGAAAAAACATAACAGTGATCATCAGGTACTGAGTGATGAAATCTCTCCCGAATCACCGTCATGTGCAATCAAAGTGGGTAGAATTTGTTAGTTGCATGTTTTCACTTTCCGAGTTGGTGTCTGGTTATTTTACCTATTGCACATTAATTTTGCCTGTTTAAGTTGTTATTAATAAAGGTTATTTTGATTTCTGGAATGGTTATTTTGATTATTTTGGGTTCCTTGGTTTCAATTGAAGATTATTTTTGTTATTTTAGTACTTACCTAATTTATTGTTACCAAAGTTTTTTAAAGCCTGAATATACCAGCTACCCATTTACTTTGTAACAATGGTCGATAGTTATATTACTAATGTATTGTTCTCTAACATAAGTTTCAGTTGGAAAACAAGTAATCTGATATTATTAGTAAATTTGAAATTAACTGGGTTTTAATTTGTGGGGGTATACAAGTTTGCTGTTAACAGTTACGGTCTATATTGCTTGAATTAAAAAAGCTACATATAGTTAAAATTTGGAAATAAAACATTCATGTAATATAATAGCTGCTCTAATCAACCAAATCCTATCTATCTATACTCTTACTGTCTTCAATTGTTGGTACTCTTTAAAGTTGAGTTTGTTTTTGTAATTTCTGGAAGTAAGATCTATTTTTCATGGTATTCTTTAGTTTTGGTTAAAATGTTTCTGTCAATGAGTTTTTATGGCTTTAGTGTATTTATGTTGCTTTATTGTTTTCAATAGCCGATATTTCCAGTTAGATATCCTACCATAGATAGACGTGTAAGATTTTTTTATTTTCTCTATCTGTTTTTTAATGATCCTGTTTTTTCCTTTGTTAATAAAAACAAACATTAATTTCTAATTATGTAAATTGATGGCTAAAAACTGTATTTATGTTCCTTTGATTGAGAATATAAAATGTATTTTTTTGTTAATTCAGAAATTGAAATATCATTATTTTTTTTCCTCTAGGGTAATTCAATAGGTGTCCTTGATATTTTTGGATTTGAAGATTTTGGTAATAACAGTTATGAACAGTTCTGTATAAATTACGCCAACGAACATTTACAGTATTATTTCAATCAGCATATTTTTAAATTTGAACAAGTGAGTATTTAAATTATTATTTTTATCATCCCTCTCCAAAAAAAAATTTTATTTGCCTGTTTAGTAAAAATGTAATTTATGTTGATAGTATTTTAAAATGATGAACTGTTTGGAAATTTACAAATAGTATTTAGATTTGAACTACTAAGTACTGATTAGTAAGTTTGATGTTATTCAATCAATCAATCGGTCTCTGTGATGTACTATTTTCAGGAGGAATATACTCGGGAAGGTATACAATGGAAGAATATAGAATTTATAGATAATACAAGATGTTTAGAATTATTCTCTAGTAAACCAAAAGGTTTATTTTGTCTCCTAGATGAGGAATGCAAGTATGTATTAAAATTTTATTGTCAAATAATACTATAATAGATATTTTGCATCATGAAATCAGACAATATTCTCTGTCTAAAGTTTACATTATAGTAATTTTATAAAATATAAATAAGTTGATTTATGACTTTATTTACAGTTTTCCTGGTGCCACCAATGATACCCTATTATCTAAGTTCAATCATCTACATAAAGATAATCTATATTATGAAGTTCCTGTTTTAAGAGAACAGGCGTTTGTTATAGTACATTACGCTGGTAAAGTCAAATATCAGATAAAGGTAATAATTATTCAAGATGTAATTCCCCAAAATCACATTGTATCTTTGTCATTTATAGTTTTTGTTGGATTTTTTCAAGTTTTGCTGTTGGAAGACCTTCATTGAAAAAGAATTCAACAGTTTCTATCAAATAAAACAATGCCATGAAGCTTTGTGATATATCACTGGAAAAACCTCAATACTAGTTTGTGATTTATTATAAAAAGGATTTATAATTAATTGTGATTTTCTTGAACAGGATTTTCGAGAGAAGAACTCAGATCATATTAGAACAGAAATAGTTAGTGTTTTAAAGAAAAGTTCCTTATCATTTGTTCGAGAATTAATGGGTATGTTATCTTTAATACTTTATCTTGACAAATAAAATTTGTTCTTTGATACTTGAAGTTAGAATCTAGATATACACTTAACACTTTTCAAATAACTGTGATAGAATTATCATTTTGTGAGATAAAAAGATGATTTTTATTTTGTTTGTTATCCAATTAAAAATTAATAAAGAAGAAATTTAAATGAAAAAAAGAGAGAAAAAAGTGTTTCTTTGTAATAATTTATGCTTACAAAGCAAGCTGCTATCATTACTCTAACTAAGCTATTGAAGATTGTATTCTGTATAATTTGAAATTATTAACTCATTTTATGTAATCTGTTCCTGATATTTGTTGCAGGAATCGACCCAGTAGCTGTCTTAAGATGGGCTATAGTAAGAGCCTTCTTTAGATGTTTCTTTGCTTTCCTTGATTCTGGTAAAAGATGGAGAAAACATGGAGGTAATGTCAGATCTAATTTGGTTTATTTTCATGTATAATTGGGTCATTATGCCCACAATCCTTAGAAATCATGTAAATTTGACTCAATACAATTTTAATCATCCACTTGTTTTTGATAATTGACAAGATGAAAACAGGAAGTATCCTTTTTATTAGATAAAGATATAGAATATAATTTAGGAAAAGTGTTTTGTAGTGTTCTGTTGTTGGCTTTTGGCCTATTTGCCAAGCAAAATGTCAAACAGAGCCATGACTGTTCCATATGACAACTTACTGTGTTAACTTGATCTTTATGTCTATTTACAGATAAAGTAAATGCTAACATAGCCAAGAAAAGATTATCAGATTCTCAACTCTTACAAGATCCTAATTATAATGACAACTTGCTCAAGTATGTATGGAATCCTAATTCTTTAGATGTAAATAATTACCATCATCATTTCTTCACCATTGTCAGTGACTGTATGTCTAAACCAACCGATAAGAAAAATAACCTTCTTCTGGCCTTCCTGATATCATAGCATGTTACCACCTCTAACAGCATGAAATTTCATCAAAAATCTTTATACATATCATTTAGGCATCTTCATGTAGAAACTCTTTTTGAATAAAACATAGGATAGTCTGAAGGTAGCTGTATTATTTGACGTTATTTGCAAATCTTAATGTTCATCAGTATGATATTTAACAATCAACCATTTTCAAGTCCAAATCTAAATTTCTTTCACCAGTACATAATGTTCTTGTAGTTGTTGGTCACATTGTCTCTTTTGGTGGCTCTGATCATCGTCATCATTATCATTCACTTATCTTCATCTTCATCATCATTCAATCATCAATCATCATCATGTAGCCTACTAATAAAAAAAAATGTGTAAAAACATGTAGTATATAAAATTGATATATAGCCTTAATATTGATTTGTGCGAATACTTTCTAAATATAGATTTAGATATTTTACATCATAAATATCAGATTATAAATCTTAATTTTACACATTATCAATATAATGTCTAACAAAACTCCTTTATCCCTGCCCAATATGCAGATCAGACCAGCCAATATATAAAGTGCATTTCTCTTCAGCCCAAATCCTGTCCTTTCTAGATTTTTCCATGTTGCTCAAACCATGAAAATTCTACGCAAAATTCAGTAAGTGTGTGTCTGTGAGTGTGATAAATTGGTTTCCATTGTGTATAAAAAAAACATTTACAAATTTGTTCAAAATTTAAATTTTGCTTGAATCCATTTGAAAAGTTAACTTTTTAACTTTAACAATTTGTTAATTTGTTTGCACGCTTGTCTTCCATTTGGACAGAATTGAATGAAACCTTAATCAGTCAAAAAAATATTTAATGCAATATTAGCCCTAATTTTTTCTATTATTATAATTTTGCTTGTAAAGTAGAAACTATCTTTAACAAAATTTTATGAAACTGAATTCATTATCTTTCCTGGACTTTAAAAAGCACAAATATATTACTTCTTCATACGTTAGAAGCTGAATTTAATATAAATACTAAAACAGGTATATCGTGTCTTGGCTTACTTGCCGTTTCTTTTGATTCCTGTATCACAATGGAACCAATATAGTTGTTTTTTTAACTAATGTTTGAATGAGATTAGATTTTGATTATAATTTAACTTGGGAATGAACTGATTGTAACCAACTGTGTTTTCTCATCTACAATCAATTTATAATTAACATAATTATACAAGATAAATTAGTAATATTTTGTTGTAGAATTTATAATTTTGTATGCTTAGATTTTGAGTTTGCTGTTTTTATATTAATTAGTGGCACTGATAGTCAGGTAGAACTGACAGAGCTGCATGGAAGTGCATGTCACCAAGTTAATACAAGTAGTGATGAAGATATATTTTATAAAGGGCATGAAACATCTTGTGATGATGACCTATCAGTTATAGAGAATCACTTACCAAAATCTAAAGCTCGTATAATGCGTCGAGCCTCCAAACTTATCTTGTATGTTTTATTGTTTTATTTTTAATCATTTTTAGGGGTCAAGCTAAATATTTGTCCTTTTTTTAAAACAGTAAATTTTTTTCTGTTCAAACTTACATTGCAGTTCAGCATATTAAGCAGGAAATAACAAATAATCAATTTAAACAATTAATGATGTTTAAAACCTGAATAAATGATCTATGTCTATTTTTTTGGGACAAATCTCATACCTGTGTTTTGGACATAACATTTGTATATGATTATGTTTGCTGTATTCTGGAATAATTGTTCCATTTTATGGTCTTGATGCACACAATACAATTAACATAATAATGATAAGCCTAAATTGTGTCTATTTCTAAATTTTAAGTTAAAGACAAAGCTGCAGGATCCAAACTGAGTCAGAAGTTCTCCAAGATATTTTAGCTTGATCCTAATCTTATACTTAAGTTATTTTTAGCAGCAAGTTTGAGTTGTTGTTTATCTAACTATGATTTGCAGTGTATATTTATGTCTAAAACATTTATGTTGACTAGCTTACAAATTATAATTCAATGCTTAGATAAATTTAGAAATATAATTCACTATACTATACATTGTTTAGAAAAGAAAACAATTAAGAATAAGATAAAGTTATATGATGTTTTTTATTAAATGATTGATCTATTCTTGCTGTTTTTTGTAGGAAAAATAAATCATTCAAACCAAAACCTCGCCCCCCATCATTGGTAAGAATTTACTTTTTTTGATCATGAAAGAACAGAAACCTTTCAGAATCACAGCTCTGAGGAGAACAAAGTTAGATACATCACATTGATTTAGTTGTAAGGCAATTTCCACTAGAGAATGCCTTTACTGTATTACTTATTGTCATCAAGATGTACATTATTCAGGCAGGGGAAAACCCCTTTTTTAATTTTCTAGTTTGATGTATATTTGAAGGGATTACAGTTCTAGTAATTATGTAAACTATTTGCATATATTAATAGTCAAAATCAACGCCTGAAAATGGCAAGTTTCATAGAAGGAAACAGTCCCAAGCTGGAAGCCTATGAGTATGATTCTGAAAGTACTTCTTCTGGGTAGCTATGACATTTCAGTAAAAGGTTGGTGCTGGACATTTCTTATCATTATGTGAGATATTATAATAATACTTCATTGTCATTACATTGTAGAGTTTTCGAGATATTCGAACACTAAAAGCTATCTCTGTTAACACTATTTATGGTGGAAGTGTTCGTCAATCATCTAAAAAGCCTCCTAGTGTTAGTGCTCAGTTCCAGGTAAGGAAGAAAATATGTCTAAATCATTTATTGAATAGGTGATGAATAATGGTCTTGCTCATACTCTCATGTATGGAATGAAACAAACTTCACATCTGGTAGCACACACACCTCGATTTATTGCCATATCCGAACAACCAGACACTTTTTCCATGTCAGGTCCTTCGACCTGCGTAACTGGAAGGGGGTAATTGGGTTGAATTACCCAAACTTTATTTCACAATCAATCTGAGCCCTCTTATAAAAATAAATATTATGTAAATGACCTATTTTGTGTTGTTTTTAAGCATCAGAAGTAAAAACTTGACCTTCTAGGATAAGAGTTTATCTTTCTGATGTGTATTTATATATTATTTTCAGTGGTCTCTGTCTAGATTAATGACAACATTAAATCAAGCTAATCCATTCTTTATAAGATGTATTAAATCAAATTCGGAAAAGGTATGTTCAAAGCTGTGTACACTTTTATGGTATTATTTTATTTTTATACTTCTGGTTTATTTATGACACTATATTGCTATTTAATGAAGAATTGTAGCTCAAACAATGTTTAAATCCAGTGTGAAATGAACTATATTACTGTAACTTTCTAACTAGTGTAAAAACTAATAATATTTTCTTAATTTTGATCATTTGTGTAATTTACAGTTACCATGTACGTTTGATGAAGAAATAGTTTTACGTCAGTTAAGATATACTGGAATG